TCCACATTGCATCCTCAATGGTTACCTACCTTCCAAGACTCACTTTGTGGAGACCAGTCCTTGGGGACCTTAGCTTCTGTCTGCCCACTGTCATTGGAGAATAACAAACATGGCCCCAAAGGGGCAAATCTTCTGCCCCTCTGAGCAGCATATGCCTCTTGGAATAATTTTCCTGTCTAGTACCTGCTTGTCCACGTCGCTAACCAGCTTGGCCCAACACCCCAACACCTTGTCTAAGAGTATTCATCACCCATCTCTGCCATATCCACTCCCTCTGAGTCTCCCTGACCCTTGATTTGTCTACATTGGTTCCTGTCCTGCTCCTACCTGCTCTTTAGCTCTACATTGAATCCCTACGCTGGCAACTGGTTCTACCAATCGCCAACACCTGGTTCCACAATGGGCTGGCTACCTGGAGGCTGTTAACAGCCCTGTAGTGCCACCTGCTGGTTAAATGTCTCATAGTTGAGCCACCCTCTGGCCAGAGGACTGTTAGGTTCTTGTTCCCTCCCTCTATCCCTTCAAGGACTTGGTTTTCATGTGAACAACTACTTAGATGAACAATGAAAAACTGTTTCTTCTACCTGTGTTTTGATCACTTACGATGAACAATCAGCATTCCAATCTGAACATTTAACAGCTGATCTGTTAGAGATACCCCAGCATTCCCCAACAAGCTCCCCAACGAAGAGCATTTGTTCTTAACCTTTTCTGTGTTCTGGCCCCCTTTAGTTTGGTGACGCCTTCTCAGACCCATGTTTTCAAATGCATGAAGTGAAATATGAAGCATAGAGCATTGGGCCTAGAGTCAGGAAGCCTCACCTTCCTGAGTTCAAATCTAGCCTCAGACTCTTAACTAGCTGTGTGACCCTGGGCAAATCACTTAACCCTGTTTGCCTCAGTTTCCTCATCTGTAAAATGAACTTGAGAAGGAAATGGCAAACCAGTCCAGTAACTCTGCTTAGAAAACCCCAAATGAGGTCATGAAGTGTCAGACATGACTGAAACAACTGAACGATAACCACAAAGAAAAACATATAAGATTACAAAGCAAATCAATTATATTGAAATACAGTTATCAAAAAAATTTTTTTTTAAAGTTCACGGATCCTAGATTAAGAACCTATGATTTAGGGGTAGAAAACACCTTAGGTGGATTTTAGAGAAACCTGGAAAGACTTACATGGAGTGATGCTGAGTGAAGTGAGCAGAATCAAAAGAATACTGCACACAGTAACAGCAACATTATTCGATGAGCAACTATGATAGACTTAGCTCTGCTCAGCAATGCAAGGATCTAAGACAAGTCCAAAAGACTTGTGATGGAAGATGCTATCTGTATCCCAAGAAGGAACTATGGAGTCTGAATGCAGATTGACGCATATTATTTTCACTGTTTTTTCTTTCTCGTGGTTTTTCCTTTTTGTTTTGATTCTTCTTTCACAACATGACTTATGTGGAAATATGTTTAACATGATTGTACATGTATAACATGTATTAGATTGCTTCCTGTCTTGGGGAGGGGGGAGAGAGAAAATTTGGAAAAATTTGGAACTCAAAATCTTATAAAAATGAATGTTGAAAACTACCAATGCATGTAATTGGAAGAAAAAAACCCTATTAAATACAAAAAAAAAAGATGCCTTAGAGGTCATTGAGTGCAACTCTCTCCTTTTATAGATGAAGAAACTGAGGAGAAGAGAGTTAAGTGATTTACCCAAGGTCACACAAGCAGTTCTCTGACTCCAAATCCCATCTTCTTTCCATTGTACCATAATGCCTCTTGAGCAGGATACAAGAACTCCAACCTAAATATATGCTCTTTTTTTCTTCTGTAATTTCCCCTTTCCTGGGGAACTTATTTTATTTATTTATTTGCATGCTGCAGAATATGCAGAGACAATTGTTCATGTGATTGGGGCTTGCAAACGAGAGCGATGTCGAGGAGCTCTCTGGCACTGCTAACAACTGGCTCGTTCTTGGCTTTGCCATCGATATGACCTTCACTATGATCTCTAGCTATTTACAGAAGTTGGCTCTGTTCACCATTATTTCTGTTTTCATGGCTGTGTTCAGAACTAGATCACTGCAACTGTTTTCTATGTTACTCTTTTACTTTGCAGCCAGAAAAACCAAAAGTTTGCTTTTCCAATAGTCTGTGGCTTATAGTCCTCCAAGACTGACCAAGAAGAGTCAGCCTCAGAAGGCTCTTCTATAAGAAGTCTGTGGCATGCTCAGCCGCTGAAGGTCAGAGAGAATTTGTCAATGTCTCTTATGTCAAATAGACCTTTCTAATCAATTATGAACAGTAGCAGCAGAATTGGAGGACCTATGGAGATTTGGAAAGAGGTTTTTTACTGGCAACCGAGAATCACTGCCCAAGTTGCTAAGCATTGGCGACAGATGGAGTCAGTGATATTTATAAATGTTAATTGATGATAATAGAGTGCTGGGATTACCTAGCCATCTGAAGGAGCTGTGTGCCATCCCTGCTGATATCAGAGAAAGACAGAACTGGAAGGAGCCTTTTGGGTCACCTGGTCTAATCCCCTCATGTTAGGACTGGATCAACTGAGCCCCAAATGGAAAATGACTTCCCTAAAATGTCTGTGGGGGAGCACTGATACTGCAGTAGCCTTATTTTTGGGTCTGAACCTATGATTCTTGTCAATGCAGGGACTTCCTCTATAATTTAGAGTGTAGAGGTTAAGTGACTTGTTAAATATAAACTCCTCACTTTAGCTTTTAAAGTCCTTCACAACATGGACCCAAACTATCTTTCCAGACTCATCGGAAATGTTCCCCCTTCCCATACACTCTGATCCAGCCAAACTGGTCTTCCCTCTATTCCTCACACATGGGGCACTCCATCTCCCATATTCACCCCTTTGTGTTGGTCACCCCCCATGCCTACAATGCACCTCCTTACTGTCCTGTGCTTCCATAGAATATTTCTTCAAAACATAGGGACAAGATTAAAATCCAGGTCTTCTGACTCCTAGTCCTGGTGTTCTTTTCAGGACATATATAGCTTTAAATTCTGACATTTGGACAGTATTTCCGTAAAGAGGCAGAAGTGAGATGGAGAATAATACTTCAACGCTTCCAAAATCTGTGATTTCCTTCGTGACTCCTCCACACCTTAGTATAATCTACATGGGATACTAAAGCCAGAAATCTTGTCTTTTAGTGACCAGCCTTCTGGATGGAAGCCTTTTTGCCCTTTGCTGGGCTGGGTCTCCTCGAAAAGACACAGTCCAGGGACCCCTTATTGAAGCTTTTTGAAATTAGGACCTACTGGAGTCCCTGATCCCCTGGCACTCAGTGAGGTCACTACCTCACTCAGCTGAGGCATTGGAGGGAGACTTTGGAAAAGGGATAATTCATTCATTCATTTATTCACTCCACAAACACTTCTGCCAACTTGGGACAAAAAATAATTAGAACTAGGAAGGACTTTAGAGGTCATGTAATCTACCCATTTCTCCCATTTTAGAGAGGAAACAAAAGCCTAGGGCTGGAGTGACTTGCCTGTCACACAGTAAATAGCAGAGTCGGGATCAGAACTCAGGACCTTTCTGACTATACAGTCAGGACTCTTTCCACTCCCTTCTATACTTTTAATCTTTCAGCAATGTCTTTTGGTTTTGACTGCATGGTCATTTTTGAATATACACCTCCACCCTAACAGAGCACTCCTTTGTAAGGAATAAAAACAAGTCAGAACCACCGACCCACACGCCAGCAGTGTCTGACAGCAGCTAAACCCAAAGTGCACTCACTGGCTCTCTGGAGAGAATGGAAGCCAACATTTATGTTTAAGCCAGCGCTCTATTAATTCATAGTGGATCAACCATGGCAAAGACAGGCTTAGCCACAGAATCTTGAATTCGAAGAATCTTGAAATGCCAAATGTCTAAATGTGCTCTTCTGTCAGCTGAGGGGGTTGAACTGAATGGGCACCCAGCTTGCCTTCTGCTCTAAATCCATGCAATCATTCAAAATATAAGTAGACAGAGAAAATATCAGAGCACAAGAAAAAAGGCTAGAATACAAAAGGGATCTGGGCTCCCCTGGACAGACAGAAGCATCAGAAGTACCGAAAAGTACAGAAGAGGGACAGCGTCCGGATTTGAGGTGGGGTGGGTGGAGGAAGGGCCAGCACACCTGGACAAAGCCCTGTGCTAGGGCCTGGGAGGGGGAGCCCGGTTCTGAACCTGTCTGGCTAGGGGATCAAATACAAAGCCCTTTGAGGTTGGAAGCCCTTCACAACCCGCTCCCCCCCCCCTACTTTTTCCAGTGTTCTTACAACTTACTCCCCAACATGCACTCTTTAATCCAGTGACACTGGCCTCTTGGCTGCCCCACGAATAAGACACTCCATCTCTTGGTTCTGGCCACTCTCTCTGGCCATCCCCCATGCCTAGAACGCTCTCCCTCCTCCGCCCTGACTACTGACCTCCCTGGCTTCAAGTCCCAACTAAAATCCCACCTTCCACTGGAAGCTTTTCCTAGTTCTTCTTAATTTTTATGCCTTCCCTCTCTTAATTATCTCTTATTTATCCCATATATTAACTTGTTTGTCCATATTTGTTTGCTTGTTGTCAGCCCTATTGGATTGCGAGTTCCTTGAGGGGCAGGGCCTATTTTTGCATCCCCGGCGGCGCTTAGCACAGTGTCTTAGGCTCTTAATAAATATTTATTGACTGACTGTGAAAAGTAATTACTGCTCCTCTACCCCCGCACACGTGCCCAGCATTGAGAGACCCTCCCCAGGTTCCCGCCCTCCCCGGGTGGTGATTGGGCTTTGAGGTAAAGGCGTGGTCGGGAGGCTGGCTGGGCTGGGGCACTGAAGGGGGCAGGAAACCAAGGGATGGGGCAGGCAGAAGGAATCGTCACTGAGGAAATGGGGTGGTGGAGGAGGGGGTTGGGCAGGTGCTGGGGCGGTGCGGACACTGCTGGGCAGGGGTGAGGCTGAATGGGGAGGGACTCAATGGGGATACGTGGCTGAGCTGGGCGGGAGCCCAGTTGAGGCACGTCCCGATGGGGCTAAGATTGTGCTTGGACTCTGGGTGTGGCTGTCGGGGAGAGTGGTTAGTCGGTAGGCGGGGCCCAGCGGGGTTCTGTCCCGAACCGGGCTTCCAGTGAGACTAGCTGGACGCAGGGCTGAGCGCTCCCTACCTGGGCTCCTCCTAGAGCCTCCGCGCGGCCTCGGGACCCTCCCCGGGGGGGCCGGGGGCTATGGCTGCAGTGGGGAGGCTCCTTTCTGTTCTCTCTGCCCTAGCCCCTAGCAGCCCCTGCCCCCGCCGCCGCCTCCTTCTCCTCCTGCTCCTACTGATGCTGGCTCGGGCCAGCGCCCCGGTCAGCACTGCGTGGACTGGTGAGAGCTCGAGAGAGGGGTCCGGGGTGGGGGTGGGGGGCGATGGGGCACAAAGTCTGGGGGGAGGAGGGAATGCTGGGTATGGGGGCAGAAGGTCGAGGGAGCAGAGGTAGTACCTGGGTGCGGTGGAGGTACGGAACAGAGCATCTGGGGGATGCTGTGCGTGCGGGTCAGGGGGTGGAGGGGAGATGCAGGACCCAGGGAGAGGGCTGGGACAGGCGGGGAGAAGAGGTGCGGGGGTGAGCAGGTCGAGGGCTGGGGCAGCCGAGGGGAGAGGGAGGAATTTGAGTTAAAATAACAATTCAGGACCCAGGAGGGGACCTGGGGTAGATGAGGTTGGGGTAGGGATGCGAGGGAGGAGGGCTCGAGGAGCCGCGTAGAAAGATGGGGCAGGTGCGAGGAGAAAGTGTTTATACACGAGTTTTACGCAATCCCTGAAAGAAGGCAGCGGTTCCCGGGTGGGAGGCTCTCAAAGGGAACCTTGTTCTGCACCTCCGGATTGAGTTGTTCTGTGTGTCGTTTGTACCTCGTGCCAGCGTCCTATGGCTTGGGGGCGGGGGAGATAGGGATTTCTGGATAATGTGTTTGCTTTTGTAAGTACAAGTTTCTGCACAAGTATGTATGTTTCCATACTCCAACGATCTGCGGGTTCCTTGGTCTGGGTTCTCTCCACGGCTGCACTTGGAAATACGCTTTCACAGACTGCCTTCAAAGAGTTGGTCTAGGCTCTAGCTTTGTTACCCTGGAATTGGTGATGAACCCCTCAGAACTTACTTAGCTAGAGCAAAGACAGACAGCGAGTCCAACTCATCCTAGGAGATTTGCCAGGTGTGAGAAATCATGCCAATATGGCCCACGGTGAACCCAGGGTCACTTCTAACCATGATGAAGCGGGGGGGGGGGGGGGGGGGGGGGGGGGCTGGGAACTGAGGAGCAGCAGCTGACTTTGGGCATATTTATTTGTATAAATATGCAGGTGTATGTACAGATGTATATAACAACTCACATTTATATCATTTGCCACCACCCTATGAAGTAGTGCAAATATCATTAGTACTGTTTTTCAGAAAAAGAAAATCTCAGAGAATCAAAATGACTTACTGAACAAGCAAGGTTAGAGCATCAGAGCTGGGACCTCAGTTTTGATCTTGTGACCCCAAAAGCTCTTTCCACAGAACATACATACCTTTCTGCTTTCCACGTGTCTATATACAACCATTCACTAAAATGTACATGTACAGATAGAAATGCAGCCCTGTGTAAAGGCTGCAAAATGAATTTAGTAGGATCAGCTACATATGTATTATATATGTATATGTGTGTACATATATATATATATATATATATATATATATATATATATATATATTTTAAGGAAAAGCTAAGGACAGATTTAAAGAGACTAGAAACAGGGCTGGAAGGACTTTTTCCCCCTTGGTGATTTGGCTTAGGGTTTCATTTTGTTAATTGCTATGACACTTTAATTACTGTAATGCTTTAATTAGGGATTTTAAAAGTCCCTCGACTTCTGGGACTTTGTGTTTAAAATGCAAAGAAAGGTCAACTCTTTTTTTTTTTAATCTGCAAGGTACAAGCAATCGCTGCTTACGTCCTTAAGCATAACTTTTTCAAGCTAAGAGAGAGTCTATTGTTATCTGACCTATTATTTTTTAGCAGTTCTTAGACTGTTTTCTGCCTTTATTTCTTCTCCAGGGCTTCTAGATTCTCTTCCTGTGCTGGGAGAGGAAGCTGGAAACTTGGATCTGGTCTTTAAAGTGGGTACAAGGTTAGCATTTCATTTGGACCAGTAGTATTCATTTTTAAAATCTTGTTCTTGAATGGAAGATAAAAAGGGTATTTCACTGCATCCACCATTACAATCTTATTATTCCTTTGGGCAGCATTCCGTTGCCTGAGCAATGGATCTCTGTCAGGACATGGAATTCTAATTTCATTTGCTAGGGCACTTTCTCAGGCTCCTCATTAGTTCAGCAAGGAAAACAACACTGTGTCAACCTGCCTAAATATGTTTTTGGGAGAGACAATAACAACCATGAATGGTACTTTTCACTATAATATTTAATTGAATAAATTAATTAAGTGCCTACTATGTGCCAAGCATAAGGAATTCAAAGACTAAAGGGAGATGGTCCCTGCCCTCAAGCAGCTTGCTTTCTAATAGCAGAAGACAGCTATTAGCTATAACTTCCCTCTAAAATCCAGGGAAGGGAGTTTTGATCTATGGAGCCACAGTTCTAGGGAATAGGGAGATAGGGCAGCCAATTCTGTTGGGGGCTGGGGGTGAGGTAGGTGCCCAGCAGCAGGGCAAATGGCAAAATGTGTGGGGTGGCTGGGTTATGGAGTATGGTCTGGGACCAGGTGGATATCATTGGTAAGGTAAATTTTCAATCACTCACTGACTTACCAGCTAGGATAACTCAGGTCCAGGGCAGGATTCCAGAGGTGGATGGATCATCTTCCCAGGGGAAAGGGCATGTGGTCTCTAAAAGTCTTATGCACAGAGAAAACTTTACCCATTTCACAGCTTGGAGAAACTGTGATTTAACGTGTTTGCTTGTTGTTAATTTAATTATTTAATTTAATTATGTAATGCTTTTTGTTCCTCCCTCCCCCAATCTCAGTAGAATGTAAGCTTCTTGAGGGCAGGGATTGATTTTTCTTTTTTCTTTGTACCCCCAGCACCTAGCACAGTGTCTGGCACGTAGTAGATACTTAAATATTACTTGTGGAACTGAATTGAATTCATGAATACAGAATACAATCCCTCCATGCACTAGTAGACACCTTAATGAGTTGTGGCTGAAACAGTTCATCACCTGGTGGCCAGTCCTCTGGGGAGAAGCCTTTCTGAATTTAGCCGGACCGATTCTCAGATGATGAATGCCGTGTCCGTCTGGACTGGAAGTCTTCTAGCTCAGCGGTGTAGGAGCTTCCAGAGAGCGTGCTCTGTTAAAAGAGTCTTCAAGAGCCCAGGGTCACGCCAGTGACAACAGGACAAGGCCCCAAAGGAAGACCAGTAGGGCGGGTATTCATAAGGCAGAAAGGTCACGGAACAGAGCGAGACCTAAACGAGAAACTAGGTAGGTATCATTAATGTGCAATAGTTAAAAGTGATTCCATTCTTGATCCAGAGGAAGCACAGATCTGGAAAATAGCTTTTGTTTCTGTTCTTTGTTTACAGTTTTAAAAAATGGTAATTTACACAGCATGCACATAAGCATAGTGGATTGTTTATTTAGCGCTAGGATGTGTTTTACTTTTGCTTGACAGAGCTATTGTGGGAGGCAGCAAAAAAAAAAAAAGAGCAGCATAAATCAGACTGTGAAGCAAATGCTGGATGATCAGATATCAGAGTTGACAGCAAACTTGGATTATCACCTTGTCCAGGAGTTCTTAACCTCTTTTGTAGCATGGCTCGTTTTGGCTGTCTGATGAAGCCTGTGAACCTCTTCTTTCTCAGAATAAATGTTTTTAAACACAAAAAATAAAACACACATAAAGTGCAAGGAAATACACTTATCAAAATATTTTTTAAATGATTTCACAGAGCCCAGGTTAAAAAAAAAACCAACCTGACTTAGCCCAATGCTCCCATTTTACAGAGGAGGAAACTGAGGCCCAGATAAGGAAAATGACTGGCTCACTCAGGAAGTGAGTAATAGAGCTGGGATTCAAATCCAGGTCCCCTGGCTCTAAAAACCCAGTGCTCTTTATTCTACCAGAAGGCACGAAGGGACCATTCTGAACACGATTCGGCAACAGCAGTATAAAACATCAGCAGTAAGTTTCAAATAAAAATACCAAACAATAATCCTAGTGGATCCTAATGAGTGTATTCATATTTTTGAGCAGTAAGTCTTGTCTGAGAAGCTGAAGTTGCAAGATTTTTAGCAAAGCTTTTTGCATCTGCTTGGTCTGTATTTTGCTGCTGGTAACTTTTTCTACTGATTTGTGTTTTGGCTGTATGACCTTTCACTATATCATGAAAGAAATCATAAGCATTTCATGACATAAACTTGTGTATCAAATGTTTTAAAGCTGAAATTCATCTTGTGAGGTCAGCATATTGAGGATCTGTGATTTGGGTGAGTGTGGGAGCTCCTTCCTCCAATGCAGACTGCATCCAGTCTGTCTTAGAGTGAAAGAAAATCACCTGACATTCCATGCCTTTGCATTGATTGTCTCCCATGCCCAGAATTTGCCCCCCCTCCCTCTTTCTCTCTCCATCTCTCTCCTCATTCCTGCCTTTAAGCTTTCCTGGCTTCCCCCAAGCCTCAGTTAAAATATCACCTCTTCCTAAAGCCTTTCCCAGTATTCCCCTCTCCCCTCATCCCTCCAAACTGTTCTCATCTTCCCTCTGGGACTAACTTTCCATTTTTTGGATGTACAACTTTTTGCATGCTGTCTCCCCCCATTAGTACGTGAGTTCCTTGAGCACAATGACTGTATTTTTGTCTTTCTTTTTATCCCCAGCACTTAGGACAGCTCCTGGCATATATAGAAAACATCTATTAAGATGCTTGTTGACCAGCTCCAAGTCCATCATTCTATCCATCATGACATACTCCTACTGTTTTTCAAAAATAGTTCTGAAGATCTCTTCATTAGGCAGCTGTCAAAACTAACAAATCAAGTCATGATAATCCAAAGAGGACTAATGGAGTTGGGTGTTTATTATAAATGCCACCATACGTTCCTGCTCAGTCTCTTCATCTAAGTCATACCCATTAAACGTAGGTGTCCCCAAGACTCTGTCCTGGGCCTTCTTCCCTTCTCTCTTTATGCTACTTTACTTGGTGATCGCACCTGCTCCCATGGATTCAGTGATCATTTCTGTGCTGATGATTCTCAAATCTACTTATCCAGCCCTAGCCTCTCTGCTGACCCCCAGTTTTGCCTTTCTATCTGCCTATTAGACATTGTAAACTCAACATGTCCAAAAGTGAACCCATAATCTTTCCCTACAAACTCTCCTTCCA